AATCCAACATAGACATACTGCCATCTGGATTAAGACATACAGAGATCATAATCTATGTCAAGATTAAGAGGCTGATACCATTTTCAAAAAAAATATGTATTATTCTACCAGAAAGGGCAATGAAAGGAGAAATAATAAAGTTTAATAACTGCATATATATGGGTATGTAGGCAAAGATGTAACTAAAAACTATTTGTTTTATTTAAAAGCTCCTCATAATTTGAGGCTCTGAACTGTAGTTTAGCTTGTGCATAAATCTGGCACTATATTGTGTAGAGCCCCACAAAATTCAGAGAGATCCGTTTTATATCCCTGGATATCTGCTGATTGTGTTACAGAAGTATAAGAGGTCAGGGCTTTAGGAGCTTGTACAGTTTTCATTTGGGACCAGGTTAAATTTGTATTCATTCTACTACTGCTGGTAAGGCTTGAACAGGCTTTGGAGATGATGGTGAGTGTCTCTCCAGGAAACACTGAGCATTTTTCTTGAGTTTGAATCATCACAATGCCCTTGCTAGCACGTTGTGTTAAGAGTAAACTAAAATATTAGCCAAGAGACATGTGAATGTCCCTGTAAACAATATTGTGTTAGTAATATTCACACCCATCTTTGCATGATGACCAGAACCCATCACTCAGCTGTGAAGCTTCTTCACCTTGTGGATGTTCTTTTATTATGCTCCTTTTAGACGTGATCCAAATTGGACACCAGTCCTTGGAAACACTCACCCTGACTGCCATGTTGTTCTTCAGGTCCTTGTTTCTTTAAAATGTACTTTCACTATTTTTCATTTAAAATTGAAAAAGGAGAGTTAATCGGGAGTTTATGTAACTAAGGAATATTTAGGATTTGATAGGCAGGAGTTCCAGACCTTTTTTCATCTTTTAAAGGCCAATCAAGTTTTAATTCATCCAGTCCCATCTTGAGCCAGGTCTAATCCCAAATTCAGAGCACTCACAGCAGGATGAATGGAGCCTGGGGAATCATTTTAATGGGTCTGAGCTGTCCAGTTCTGATTACCAGAACCTGGGAGAATTAAAATGTGGATAACAGCTCAAGATGAGTATTGCATGGATGAGTATGCACAGATCTCCTCTCACCTTTTGTGACAGGCTCAGTTTTGAGTAAAACAGAGAGGCTACGTCTACACTGGCCGCTTCTTTGGAAGGGGCATGCTAATTTTGAATGTGGGAATAGGGAAATCTGCGGGGGATTTAAATATCCCCTGCGGGATTTAAATAAACATGGCCGCCGCTTTTTTTCTGTCTTGGGGAAAAGTAGGAAAAAAGCGTCTAGACTGGTGCGATCCTCCGGAATAAAGCCCTTTTCCGGAGGATCTCTTATTCCTACTTTGAAGTAAGAGATCCTCCAGAAAAGGGCTTTATTCTGGAGGATCGCGCCAGTCTAGATGCTTTTTTCTGGCTTTTCCCCAAGCCGGAAAAAAAGCGGCGGCCATGTTTATTTAAATCCCGCGGGGGATATTTAAATCCCCCGCGGATTTCCCTATTCCCACATTCAAAATTAGCATGCCCCTTCCGAAGAAGGGGCCAGTGTAGACGTAGCCAGACTGATTCTCCCATGGCAAGATACAAGTAAGTCTCAGAAAGTCCATGGATTTGACCCTGATCTCAGATACACTGCTTTAACTCTATTTACCTCAACTGAGCTGTGCCTAGTTTACAGTGAGATCAAAATGGATTCCAGTGAAATTTCCTTGTGTCTTGCAGAGGAGAACAGTGTCCAAAGAATTGATTTTTTGCCTTATTTCAGAATATTTGTCATGGGAAACAACAGTGGGAAACACGTCTTCCCACACACTGATGCCATGGCCAAGCTCTTTGAGGCAAAGGGCCTCATTCTTGCTTGTATTACTGGTATCCTGTAGGAGGAGAACAGGACTCTGCAGACCTATTTATCTTTCTTTTGTCTGGATCTGTGCAGTGATGTCATCATAGACACTAACCTCCCCCCGCCCTCACCCCACCCTCTGTTCTAAAATCTGATTTGTCTATTTTATATGTGTTCACTTTTTTGATTGTATCCCTTTGGTATATATGGTCATGCCAATTTTCTTCCACCATTTGATCTGAGGAAGTGGGTCTGGCCCATGAAAGCTCATCACCTAATAAACCATCTTGTTAGTCTTTAAAGTGCTGCATAGTCCTGTCTTTTGTTTCAGCAAGACCAGACTAACATGGCTACATCTCTATTACTATCATTGTGTTTTGTTTGTGTTGGCTAATCTGGAATGCCAGGTGCTCCAATAGATGTAGATGAACTGATGCCACCTGCTGGCCCTACTGTGGAATTTCAATTTGGATTGTTGGTGGTACCTTAAATGTGATTATACACATGTGAAAAGGAGCAAAAATTCATTTGAGTAACTTTAGATACCTGTTAGCAAGATAATTTTCTGAACATCCTCTTGGTCTGTCATTTAACAAGTTTCTGTGACAGTCTGGCAGTAACTGCTTTAAAAACCTCAGTTGGTAGATGATTCAGTGCTACTGTCATCAAAATACTGCCGATTTGAAATGTCTGTTGTCTTCTAATTAAAAAATAGTTTATTGCTGTCTATTGAACAGTCTTGGATAGTTACATCTGTTTCTATACTTGAACACTGGCTGTATATGAAGAAAGCAGGTTGGAATTCATCAAGATGATTGAAGATTTGTTTTTGAGGATCCTACAGCTCGAATTCCTGTTCTCACAATTTTCTATGTTCTACCCAAGATACAAAACCTGGAAATATTGGACAACTCATCATCTTTAGCATTGGCACACTTACAACAGGATTATCTGTCTCGGATGACTCTCTCCAGAGACCCTATGCTTCCAACACACCTAGCTGTTTTCAAGACCTCACCAACTTCCTTTGGAAACCACAGAACACCAGTCGTTTTCCTGAAAACACCATCATGGCCACTATGGATGTAGAAGCTCTTTATACCAACATTCCACGTGAAGATGGATTAGTGACAGTCAGGAAAACCATTCCTGATGACACCACTGCACATGGGTTACAGACCTCTGCGATTTTGTCCTCACCCACAGCTATTTCTGATTTGGGGACAATTTGTATTTTTAAGTCAGCAGCATAGCCTTGGGCAGCTGCATGGCCCCTCAATATGCAAATATCTTTATGGCTGATCTTGAAAGACGTTTCCTCAGCTCTTGTACCCTAGTGTCCTTACTGTACTTACACTTCATTGATGACACTTCATCATATGGACCCAGGAGAAGGAGACCCTTGAAGAATTTCACAGGGATTTCAACAACTTGCACCCCACCCTCAACCTCAGCCTGGACTAGTAGATAGGGGAGATCCACTTCCTTGACACTACAGTACAATTACATGATAGACGCATTTCCCAACCCCCCCCCCATACCCAAAACGTACCAACCGTGAAACTTACCATCATGCCTCTAGCTTCCATCCAAGACCCATTTCATCTATTGTTTACAGCTAAGCCCTAAGATACAAGCAGATTTGCTCCAATCCCACAGACAGAGACAAATGACTAAAGGATCTAGATAGAGCATTCTTAAAACAGAAATACGTGCCTGGAGAAATGAATAAACGGATTGTCAGAGCCAGGAGAGTACCCAGACCTGAATTACTTCTGACAGACCAAGAAAAGAAAATTAAAGAACATCACTTGTTACCTGCAGCTCACAACTTAAACTCATCCAACGCGTAATCAGCAATCTACAGTCTAATCTGAAAAATGACCCTGCACTCTCTCAGGCATTTGGGGACATGCTAATAATTGAATACAGACAGCTCCCTAACCTCAAACAAATTCCTTCCAGTAACCACGCAGCACACCTCCATCATAATCATCCAGGAACCCACCAAATCATCCAGCAATCAGCCCCAGGGCCAACGCTGTCCATGCATTTATACGAACGATAGCAACACAGGACCTACCTACGTAAACCACCATGTCAGAGGCTCATTTAACTGCACATCCACCAATGTGATCTATGCCAGCAATGCCCCTCTGCCATGTGTATTGGCCAAATTGGACAGTCTCTACAAGAGAGAATTAATGGACATAAATCAGTTATCTGAAAAGACAACACAGAGAAACCTAGTGGGGATCATTTTAACTTGCCCAGGCACTGATTAATGGATTTGAGAGTCACTGTGGTATTTCAGGCCAATTCTACAAGCCGACTGTACAGGGAAGCCTTAGAACTTAACTTCATTTACAGGTTTGATTCCTATTACAAAGGTATGATTAAAGATATTGGCTGGATGGCCCTCTACATCCCACATCATAGTGATATAAAACAAACCAAACAATGAGTACTTAAGAACAATTAGCACCTTCTCTATCAGCATGGACACTCTATTTCTTCAGCTTCTTTTCTTTTTTCTCCCTCCCTCCCCCCCCATCCCCTATTTATTTCAAAACTGGACCTTTAATAACTCCAGTCATCTGAAGAAGTGGGTTGTGCCCACAAAAGCTCATGATACCATCTATAGTTTTGTTAGTCTTTAAGATACTGCAAGACTATTTGTTGTTTTTTAAGTTCTTCCAATTGCAGATTAAGTGGGCTACCCCTCTGAAGCTTTTGACTGCTCTATAGTTTCTTGGGTTGTTCTTATTTCCCTTTTTATAGATGGGAACCGTATTTGTTTTTTTCCAGTCTTCTGGAATTTCTCCTGACTTCCATGATTTTTCAAAGATGATAGCTAAAGGCTCAGATACCTCCTCTATCAGATCCTTGAGTAGTCTAGGAGTATACGTGTGCATTCCAGGTGGGTGAGATTCAATGAAAGAACACTTCAACAAAGCTGCCAGCACTTCCATTGCTTAGCACCAGCGTGAGTAAGAGTAGATGAATCCTCAGCTCTCCACCACTCTCCCAAACCTTGATAATGTGTCAAATGCCCTTAAATAAAGGAGTCTCACAGGGGTAGCCATGTTAGTCTAGAACTATAAAGATGAGTACTACTGTGGCACCTTAAAAACTAACAAGACTTGATAGATAGTATCATGAGCTTTCATATGTAAAATGCACTTCCTCAGATGAGCTTGAGTAGAGAAAAAAGTGGGTCTACATGTTGCTGGGCTTCTCCCTCTATTGGCTCACTTGTGAACCTGACAACTGTCCAGTTTCTCCCTCAGGGCCCCATGTAGCTATGACCTTCCCTCCATTAATGGAAGTCTAGATGCAGCCAATAGCTCTTGTCTGTTATCCCAAGCCAGTCCATGTGGTAATGTTGCTAATAAAGCACGAAGAGAACTGTCTTTGGCGTAATCCTTAACTGCCCAGACAGGTTTTAGAAGATGGCAAGGAACCAGGGAATAAAATTGTGCAGGAAAAAGTGACTCTTATTTCATCCAGTACAATGAACATTTCTCAATGGAAAGACATATTTTAGCACTAATCTTGTCTGGCTGGACAATGTACTTCCGTGTATTAATGTTAAGGGAGGAATCGTCCGGTGGTACACTTATGTACATGCTTTCCAGTTGTTTTTCTGATTATGTGAGCAAATGTGTAGTTTTGGGAAGAAATGCATTGTGTTTGCTGGTTTTGGGTTATGCAGGGTTGTGAGGAAAGGGAGCAGTATGAGAAACAGGAGAGTGTTTTGCTGTGGTGTCTGATTAGAGTGAAATCTTGAAGCAGACTTGCAGTGTAGGTACTGGACATTGGTGTTGGGTTAGATTTCTGAGAGAAGGGTTTCCTTGTTGCTTGAGATCAGCTTTCTGCCAAGGTCTCATGTTTATGTGCAAATAAATGAACAATGGCTTGGGATACTCAGACTCCGTATCACTGATTTTCCCCTTCCCTGAGTAACTGACTTGCAAGGATGGGACATTTGCTTCTGTTTGGCCTTGGGCCAATAGTGAAGCTAGAAATTTGGACACTGGTTTTCGGAAAGAGCCAACAATATCCTAGTCCCTTCAGCAGAGGGAGCAGAAGAAGTCTGTGGTGCTGAAAGGTTTTTCAAATTCTCTGAAATGTAGGTAGGAAGCAGCTGTTACCCTGAAGGAACAGAGTGGGGAGGTTTTTGTATGGGTCTGTATCACTGTGAGAGGAAAGTTCTGATACTGCTGACAGTAATAAACTCCAGCATCTTCAGCTTCAACTCTGTTGATTGTGAGAGTGAAATCTGTGCCAGACCCAGTGCCGCTGAACCGGGCTGGGACCCCGGATTGCAGGGAACTTCCATCATAGATAAGGAGCTTCGGTGCTTGTCCTGATTTCTGTTGGTACCAGGCTAGGAGCTGATTGCTACCCCAGGTCAGGCTGGAACTGGCTTTGCAGCGGATAGTGACTGTATCTCCAGGAGACACTGCCAGGGATTCTGGAGTCTGAGTCAGCACAATCTGCCCACTGGAGTCTGAAATAAGAAATAGAATATAAATGTGTACTCTTTCTGACCTATATTCATAATGTCAATAATATAATTAATCAAAATGAGCCATCCATTGATTTGGTAAATTTTCCCGTATGCCTCTTTACAAACTTATAACTGACCGTCCTCCTGATATGGATTCTAACATTATGGTTAAGTTGGCTGTTTCATTCCAAACTGTCTTCCATTGCTACTATTTCCCTCACAGTTCCAAAGCAAAGAGGACACCCGTCTCAGAACTTTTTATCTCTAATTCGTGGGTTGGGATTCACACAGAACATTCCTATATCTGTTAAGTTTTTCTGTGGCTCATGGTGGCATAACCTATGCCACGTCCCCTTCATTTGATTCTTACCCGGGATCCAGAGCACTAACAGCCAGAGGAGCTGAGCGTGTGCAACCATCTTGCTATGTCTGCCTGGCCTGATGCAGATCAGTAAACTGTCACCAGTGACATGGGACATTTATGCTGGCCCAGAACTGCAGGGCAGTGTCACCTGGGTGTGAAATATGCAAATTTAGTGAAGAGAAAAAATCCCAGCTGAGCTAACCATATGTAGAGAAGGGGAAATGAAAGACAGATGGTGACATACACAAGTTGAACTTGTTAGGCCCTCAGAAGGCATCCTCAAGCTTCATTCAAATGGCAATTCCACTAATAGTGAGTGTGGGCCCCAGAGATCCCTTCTGTGTCTCTTACTCCTGCTTTTGTAGCTCAGTGAAATATAATAAGCTAACAATCATCATTTGCATTTAAATATATGATTCCATTTTTGCTTCTCTCAAGTTTGATTTAGTGAGTGGTTTATTACTCAAATGGGTATTTTTAGATAAATACCAGCTATGGAGTTGGTGCTTATCTTGAGGTTAAAAATGAGCAGAAAACAAAGGTGACTGGTGCTTATGGAGGAAGGGGGCAGGAAGGGCTAGTGGAGGAAAAGGGAGGGGGGCATGACTGAGTACCCCATTTAACAATTGAAACTGCATCTCCTGAGTGCTACCATAAGTTAGCTATAACAGAAAATTCCATCCTTTGATTTCCCCATAAAGTGTCCTTATTAAATATTCCCAGGAGAACTAGTTTGGAAGGATAATAGATGAACTATGTACCATGTAATTCTGGTTTAATATCTGTACTGATCTGTCAGCCAGTGGTGACTGTCTTCTGGGACAGGGACATTGGAGACTTCTATGAATCTGTCTCCCCTTGTCTGAAGGTGTATCCAATATTTGCCATCTGAAGAAGTGGGTTATACCCATGAAAGCTCATGATACTATTTATATGTGTTTTGGTTAGTCTCTGAGGTGCTACAGGACCATTCGTTGCTTTAAGTTTTGGGTATTTTTTAGTTATATGCTAACATGGCCGTCCCTCTGAGACCGATGAGCTCTGTCTTGCAAAGCAACAATTGCATGCGAATTGGCTGGGCAGTGATGTTTTTGTTAGACTTCAGAAGAATCTTTCAGTCTAAAGCCTCCTGTCTGGTTTTTCCTCACAAAGGGCAAGTCATGTCTGACCAATCTTATTAGCTTCTATGATGAGGTAACTGGCTCCGTGGACATGGGAAAATCAGTGGATGCGATATACCTTGACTTTAGCAAGGCTTTTGATACTGTCTCCCACAATGTTTTTGCCAGCAAGTTCTGGGAATATGTATTGGATAAATGGACAGTAAGATGGATAGAAAGCTGGCTATAAGGCCGGGCCCAACGGGTAGTGATCAATGGCTCGATGTCAGGATGGCAGTCAGTTTCTAGCGGCATGCCCCAAGGTTCGATTCTAGGACCAGTTTTGTTCAATATCTTTGTTAATGACCTGGATGAGGGGATGGATTGCACCCTGAGCAAGTTTGCAGACGACACTAAGCTAGGGGCAGAGGTAGATACACTTGAGGGCAGAGATAGGGTCCAGAGTGACTTAGACAATACCTTCGATCTGATTATACACCTATAAAAAGAAGCCAACATTGATGTGAGTTACTTCAGACACCTTTTAGCAAGATACTTTTCTGAGCATCTTGTTGGTCTGTCATGTAACAGGTTTCTGTGACAGCCCAAGAGTAACCTCTGCTTGAAATGCCTCAGTTGATAGATCATTCAGTGCTATGGACATAAAAATGCTCTTGATCTGAAATACCTGTTTTCTCCCTCTGATTCAGAAATAGCTTGTTGCTGCCCATTGAACAGTCTTGAATAGTTACATCTGTCTGTATACTTGAGCACTGGGTGTATATGAAGAAAGCAGATTGGAATTAAGCACGATGATTCAAGTTTTTTCTTGCAGATCCCATACTCTAATCTTGTTCTCATTGATTTCTTTAGTAGAACTAAGTCTGTTCCCAACTGGCCTGAGTGTATAGTACAGGAACTGATACATGGAACAGAATAGGTAAGGGAAGGTTAGGCATTACATAGTGACGGATGGCAGATCAAGGAGGTTTTTTGAGGTTATCAAGATTTTTCGAGAAATCACCCTGTTTTCAAAAGAACCAGATCTAGACTGTGGTTTTACTTTTGAAATTGCGCTTGTTTGAAAGAGCACCATGATGTGATTATTCAAATGAAGCATGGGTATTTAAATCCCCGGTTCATTTGCACTTTCGAAGTGCCTAATTTACATTCCTCTGGAGACAGAGGGATGTAGTTTAGACATAGCCTAGGACTGTAAGTGGCTTTTTACTGGTGGCTGTCTAAAGTGTTGCTAATGCTTGTACTGGCCCTGAAGCCAATGATATCTCTACTTACTAGAAAGATTGACAGGGACTTTGGAGACTGCATCATCACAATCTGCCCCTGGGATGCTGAAACTACAACCCAGCTCAAAATTGACATCTAGCTCACCAAAAACCTTTGTTGATTTATAAAGGATTATGTGAGCACTAAAACATTTAGCCAGGCACTGATTCCATTCTAAATCCTTGTGCCCAGTTGCTGATGATAACATTATTTCCTGTGATTTCTCTGCCCTAGCAGCTGGAAATGTTTGTACAGTGGGAAGGATTTAGGAGATTCCTGCAGTTGATCACTGACAGACCCAATAGAAAGGGGATTGGATCCGATGGTCACATGTCTGAGATGCCCATGTGTCTCTTCTCAGGGATTCATCTATAATGTGACTGGTGGTGTTTCCCTAGGAACTCCCCATTGCCTTTCTCCAGTGCAACTGTCCTTCCTCTTTCCAAGGCCCTGCATTTCAACTACGTTCCCTCCTACAGAGAAACTTCCTAGGTTCCTTCTCCCCTTATACGATGGATCTGCCGGAGCAGGACACTCGATGGTAAGGTGAGTTGTTCCTGTCCAACACATGCACACCCTGGAGCTCAGGGCATTACTTCCACTCCCTGCCCTGGCAGGACTCTCAGTAAAGCACTGAGCTGACATAAAATGCTCAAGCTGCCTTTTTAGGGCAGTAACATGGAGGTGAATAAAATATTTGAAAGACAGATGGAAAAAAATGCCACCATGGATGTGGAGCAGTAAAACAGTCTTTTGTGTGCAGGGAAGAAGCAGACTCTGTCAATCTGTAGGTATTAGAGGCTGGAGAGGGCAGGAAGACTTGTTTCTGGGCCTGATAGTCTGCCCCCAAATAACAAATAGCATTTGCACAGAGAAGGCGGTCGTTGGAAGGAAGCAGCTGTTACACAGAATGGGACAGAGCAGGGAGGTTTTTGTACTGGTCTGTGTCACTGTGCGAGGTGAAAAGCCTTGTTGACAATAATAATCTACAGCATCTTCCATTTTAAGGTGAAAACCCTTGTTGACAATAATAATCTACAGCATCTTCCATTTGAACATTTCTGATTGTGAGAGTGAAATCGGTGCCAGACCCACTGCCTGTGAACCGGTCTGGGATCCCAGAGGGACGGCTGGAAGCATCATAGATAAGGAGCTTTGGCGCTTGTCCTGATTTCTGTTGGTACCAGGCTTGGTAGGGAGTGCTACCATAGTTGATGCTGGAGCTGGCTTTGCATCGGATAGTGACTGTGTCTCCAGGAGACACTGCCAGGGATTCTGGAGTCTGAGTCATCACAGTCTGCCCACTGGAGTCTGAATTAAGAAAAGGAACATCAGTTAATATATATGCATGTGTAGTGTCTCTAATCTATACATATAATAGAAACATACATGATGTATATACACATCATCAATAGTATAGATAATAAAAACAATATTAACAAATATTCCTGTGATAATTCATCTTTGCAAATGACCCTGACATTGTTTGCGCTGGGGTTTTTATTCCAATTTTTTAGTTTCTTATATTTTTCTCAGACATTTTTTTCCCTTTTAGTGGCAGTTTGGAGCTATTGTCTAATGTTGCTCTCAAAAAGGACAGAATGGGTGTGTCCATCTACTACATTTCTAGCTCTCTTAAATGTTTCCATAGATCATTGTAGCTTAAAGGATCTGGATCCCCTTCCTTTGATCCTTACCTGTGACCCAGAGCACTAACAGCCAGAGGAGCTGAGCCTGTGAGATCATCTTTCTATGTCTGCCTGGCTTGGTGCTGATCAGCAAATGCTACCAGTGACATGAAACGTTTATAAGGGCGCAGAGCTAAAGGACAGCAACACTTGTGTGTGAAATATGTAAATTGCCAGCAGTCTGAAAAGCCAGCAGAAAAAAGAGAGAAGATGCTGGGGATGAACTACGCAAGTGCTAGCTGCTGAGTGTTTAAGACCTAATTTTGATGGGTAGCAGACCAACCCATTTTAAGCGTATGTCTATCCTAGGAAGTTTTGTCTCCCCAAACTGCCTTTTGATAACAGAACAATGAGACTGTATGCACTAATTTCTTGGGAAAATTCCCAGTTTTGGCAACAAAAACTTCCACCCTACATGAGACTTTTCTTTATCCTTCCCTTTATTGTGGACAAAGATCCAATGTAGACTCTGCTGTTTGGTGTCTTTTGGACAGAACTGGCTTCTTCCAGTGTGTCTCAATGCCTGCTTTGATGGATGTGCATGATGTTTTATTATCTGCTGCTCTGCAGGCATGGACTCCTCCATTTAAAAACTTTGGGAAGTATTTGATAGTTGAGTGTGCTGTTTTCATTGGGGAACAAAGACCAGATTTATTGAACTGCTCCTGTTCTTATGTGCAGTAGGAACATAGTATCAGGCTGTGGCTTCAGATGGCTGGAGGTGGGGGGGGACTGCTGAATTGACATAGCTGACAGAGCTACGCATGATGCTGCTCCCAAGCTGTGGTCTCACAACACTGCACTGTGGGACAGTCACACGATGCACTGCTCACATTGTCAGTCATGGGGACCCCAGTATGGACATGATCCGACATCAGAGGGAGCAAGTGTGAACACCGTCCGGTAATTTTTGTGTTGTTGATTTTTGGGTGTTGACAACTCTGCCCACATATCTACACCAGCAACACCATCACAGGACCTAACTAGATCAGCCATACTGTCATTGGTACATTCTCCTGCACATCTACCAACGTAATATATGCCATCATGTGCCAACAATGCCCCACTGCTATATACATCGGCCAAACTGGACAGTCCCTATGTAAAAGAATCAATGGACACAAATCTGATATTAGGAATGGCAACATACAAAAACCTGTAGGGGAACACTTCAACCTTCCTGGACACACAACTGCAGATCTAAAAGTAGCCATCCTGCAGCAAAAAAACTTCAGGACCAGACTTCAAAGAGAAACTGCTGAGCTACAGTTCATCTTCAAGTTTGACACAATCAACTCTGGATTAAACAAAGACTGTGAATGGCTTGCTACCTACAAAAGCAGCTTCTGCTCTCTTGGAATTCACACCTCCAGATCAACTGCTAGAAGTGGGCCTTATCCTCCTTGATTGGATCCACCTCGTCATCTTCAGCCTGATCCTGGCCTGCATATTTATACCTGCCTCTGGAAATTTCCACTACATGCATCTGACGAAGTGGGTCTTTGCCCGCGAAAGCTTATGCTCCTACACTTCAGTTAGTCTATAAGGTGCCACAGGACTCCTCGTCGACAATAGTTTTGTTGACACAACTTGGTAGTGCAGACATCCCCTCAGTTATAGCCCCTTTCTCTCTTGAAATGACATTTCTCTGGCTGGAATGGAAATACATATTCTCAGGGTCTCAGCGTTGCGTCAATGTTGGGTTACATTCAGTGGCCTTAGAAACAATGTTATACTAGGAATCCTGTCACAAAGATAAATTCAATGGTGGTGATGAGAGTTCTGCATTAGGGGATCTACCCAGGGAGAGGGACAGTCCCTCTCTTCCTTGCTGCTCCCCACTGGGTTGTTTAATCACCACCTCACAGACTCTATAGCAATGCAGAGAGGAGCTGGGGGGCTTTTAAGCCTTAATCTATTTCTGTCATTTAAATCCTTAAAGTAGGTGCAGTGTGCACAGAAACAGGCTGGTCTCACATTAAATAGAGAGCCATATGGCAGTGCTACCCAGGCACTGTTTAAGATTGTACAAATAGACCTTTAGTTTTGATTTAAACTTAGACTCCTAATTCTGCATTTCAGTTCTTTATCTATTTATTGAGGCCTCATTTACAAGAGCAGAGAACTTCCAGCCTGTCCCACTGGAATGGAAGTTGAATGTGGCCATCTGCTGTGAACTGTGTGCAAGTGCAGCTCCTTCTTTAAAGAGGCTGGATGCAGAAAGCTACATGCCTGATAACATGCCTTCCTGAGACCTTGCTGTGGCTCCAGGACCATGCAGCGCCCCAGATCTCTGCAACTCCCACAGGTGACCATGAGAATCTTAAAGGGTCAACCAGCAGCAAATGGTTCTGCTGCTGCTACCACCAACCTGTGGGATTTCTTGTATGGTTAGGTAATTTTACAGTGTGTGAGGGACTCTGTGGGTATGTCTGCACTACAGAATAAGGTCAAATTAAGATGCACAACTTCAGCTTCATTAATTGCGTAGCTGAGGTCGAAGTACCTTAGCTCAAATCGTAGCGTTGTCCATGCTGCAGGAAGTCAAAAGGAGAATACTCTCTTGCTTAGACTTTCCTTATTCCTCATGGAAGCAGGACTGCCAACGTCAACCAGAGTGCCCAGGGGCGGCCAGTGAGGCTAGGCAAGTGAGGCAGCTGCCTAGGATGCTGCTGGCCCAGGTGCCCGATGATGATGTCACGGCCATTGACTGCCGTGCAGGTAGGGATGCTGCAGTCGGTGTCCGGCATAGGGCACTAACTGTGGCAGCTGGCCTCGGGCTGCTCCTGAGAGTGCCCCTTTTGATTTAAATTAGCCATCCCCATTAGACCCACTAATTCAAACTCTGGAAGATGGACTGCGGCATCTTCGATCTTCTCGGTAGTGTAGGTGAACTCTGACAGAGAGAGACTCAGAATGTCGATGGTCATCCTACAGAGAAGCGCTCTCTGGCAATGCTACCTGTAGTTTGGGTTGTACACAGATTCTGCTTCCACCAGTAATTTCTAGAGACTTCCTATGGCAGTTGCCATTTCTCAACTGCTCTTCTGGACTTGTATTGCAGTGTTAGTGGGTAGTGGGTTCCAGTGTGTAAGAGGAAACACTTTTTAGTATTTTAAAGGAAAGTGCAGAAGATGTGTGAATACAGCAACGTGTAAATACTGGCCTGTGAACCAGTCTGGGATCCCAGAGGGACGGGTGGAGGCGCTGTCGAGAGTACAGAGGGGTTTGAGGCAGCCTCAGCTGGTGTAACACTGTCTGGCTGCAGGAAAATAGTTGTTACAATGAGGAACAGAAACTGAAGGCAGCAGGGAGGTTTCTGTATTGGTCTGTATCACTGTGAGCTCCCAATTTGACAGAAATAATCTCCAGCATCATCAGTTTCTACTCGGCTGACCCACTGCTTGTGAACCGGTCTGGGATCCCAGAGGGACGGCTGGAAGGGCTGTGAATGAGGAGTTTAGGAGCTTGTCCTGATTTCTGTTGGTACCGGGCCATCAAGCTGGCAACACTGGAACTGGCTTTGCAGCATATAGTGACTGTGTCTCCAGGAGACACTGCTAGGGATTCTGGAGTCTGCGTCAGCACAAGCTGTCCTTTGGCATCTGGATGAGAGGAAAACATCAGTAAGATCAAATGAAATACAATGAAGACAGCCAAAAAAAGAATTCCCCAAATCTCCAGTAACTAATCTTCATGTAGACAATCTAGTTATATTCAGGCCTGTGCCAAATGGAACTGTATCGCTCTGTGAGTTCATGGAATGAAGAAGTAACCTGGGGTTGAAGAGATCTGTGATGAGTAAATCATGAGTGAGAGATTGTGCTAATCTCCTATGATGATGATCTTACCCTGAATGCAGAGTACAAGGAGCCAGATCAAGAGATTCTGTGAAATCATCATTGTGTCTCTAGTCGGACAGGCACTAAGGCATAAAGACAAGAAATGATTTATAGCTGCTGTGCATTGCAAGGAAATATGCTTGGGCAGAAATATGCAAAGCAGCTTCTCCGTGTAAATGTGCTTTGGCTGTGTCCATGTGCACAGAGTACAGAGAAAAGTCCGTGTACAGTCTCCTATGCATGGAACTGAGTATTGCCTGTGTCAGGCTGGCTGTGGCTCCTGTTATCAGTATATGCTTTAGTGCAATACCCAGTGTGCATGTCTGAGTCATTGGTTACTCTGAGCCAGAAATGAGAAGCTTCCTTTGAATTAGATTTTACTTTGTGAGTCCTTTTGTTGTGATCAGCAGGAGTGGCCCGAGGCCCGCTGTAGCAGCTGGTGCCCCAGGCAGAAGGCACGATTGACGCCCCCATCTGCATGGCTGTCAATGGCCGTGATGTAATCACGGGGCGCCCCGACGCCCCGTGACATCATCATTGGCATCGGGCTGGTGGTACCCTAGGCAACTGCCTAGTTTGCCTAGGCTCACGGGCCGCCCCTGGGTATCAGTGGTACAGTAGAACCTTAGAGTTACGAACTGACCAGTCAACTACACACCTTGTTTGTGACTGGAATGGAAGAGTAGCATATAGGAAACAGACCCAAACCACAAACACAGGACAATGCTTTGTTACATGAGACTACTTAAAAAAAAAGTGAGGAAAGGGGAGCATTTTTCTTCTTTATAGCCATTTCAATGCTGTATTCAGTCCATGTTCAGCTGTAAACTTTTGAATGAACCGTCAAAGTTTTGTTGAGAAAGTTCTGAATCAGCTCCATTGATGAGATGTTTGTGCTTCTGAGGTTTCATTGTACTGCCTATGGCATGAATAGCTACAAAGCAGCTGATATTGATCTACCCAGTCTGGAACACACTTTGTTCAACACTCATTTCAGGTTCCAGGCCAGTCATTTTACCCCCTATTCTTCTCTGAAGATGCTTGCATGTGAATATAGATCAGTGGTCATCAGCCAGTAGATCAGGATCTATTGGCTGATCTTTGCGCCTCTGGGAGGTGATCCTGACTGGCTTGATTGGGATGCTATTAAGTGCTGGCATTTCCACTGCCTCTTTTTACTGCCCTACTCTTCCTGCCCTTGGCCTTGAAGCCATCCCTCAGGAGCCTCCTGATTCCTGTTCATGGTGGAGGAGACAGAAGGAAGGGGCACTGATATCAGTGGGTATTCCTCCCTCCACCCTTGTACCCCATCTCCACAGAGTGAGCAGGGCAGGGCCTTGGAGAAGGGGCAGGGAGGAGATGGGGGGAGGGCATTTGGGTTTGGGGTAAATTCTGAATTGACAAATTCAAAAAAGTGATCTTGTGTTTAAAAAGGTTGGAGCTCACTGATCTAGATGGTACTTGGTAGTGATGGGAGGGGTAGGGCATGGGACTGGACTTGATGGCCTCTTGAGGTCCCGATGGTTCAGTGATTTTTCTTGGGTGATCCTGGCAGTTTTTCTAACTCTGTTTTAAGTACCCTGCAGATCTGTTCAGGACGGCTGGGTTTGAAATACCCCTAATGTTCTATTTAACCAGGTTAAACATTATGTTACTACACATGCAGTTTGCTGTATTTGTACCTGGTACTTCCAGAAGGAAACCATCATCTTTTAAGTGTCTTATGAACCAGTGCAACTCTTATATCTACTCTGTGACCCTGCTCTCTCTCAGGGCATGTCTACACAGCAACTGCGGCTGGCCTGTGCCAGCAGACTCAGGCTCCCAGGTCTCGGTATTGCATGTGATGTCAGATGTTCTTTTTGGTCTTCATCCCCCAGCCCTCCCAATCATACAGTTCCGCTTAACAACTTGTATAACAACATCTTACATTAGACAGTTGGGTGTGGGCATAGTCTCCTCTCTACAGGGCTTTGGGCCTTGTTGATATTAGAAAAGTTTTGCTGGCAGAGTTATACTGGTTGAACAGTACTGGCAAACCAACCTCGTGTGGTTGCTCCAGCCCCGATTTCACCCGTAGTCCTAGAGACACATTCCTTCCTGTCTGAAGAACTTTGATGGCTGCATAATGGTGTCTAGTTTTGTTGGTCAAAAAATCACGGTGATGGGGTAGGTCACAGAGATCCACTTCAGACTGTATCCTGACGAGCTTATCATGTCAGTGACACCTGCATCCCTGCTCTCTGGGTCACTCCACCATCCTGACCTGCTGAGTCAGAAGCTCTGATTTCCCCCATCAAGACACAGAGTCGGGGTCACAGACACTGCAAGCAGCTCAGCTCTGGGAAGGCTCATTCCCAGGGACAGGATACAGAACCCAGGTGCACAGCCCCCGTGGGACCAGCCTCCCAGATCAATCTTACTCTGCAGAAAAGTTTTATTCAGAACAAGCTCATCAGGTCTTCTCCCCTTTTATCAATGAAGGAGGGAGATGAACAGCTGTTGTCTCCTCCCCTTTATAAATCTGTGCAGTCTGTTCAACTCCTTGCCCAAATGCCCCATGTAGCTGCTACCTCCCCTCTAGCAGGAAGGACACAACTTCTCATGCAGCCTGCCGCTTTTGTCATGCCGTGTGCACCAGCCTGAGCGCTGCTGTAGAGTGAAGTGAGTCTCCTGCTGCCTCTGAAGCCTTTCCAGCCCTCAGGATATCGGCACTGCTCCTCCAAGATGGCAGCCCTGCCATTGGCCACTGAGTAATTATGTAGTGACAGTCTTTATAGAATTATTCAGCTCATCACCTGACCTTAGTAACAAAAATAAAACTTTCATTTTAATCCACTTTCTCTGTTGCTCTTGGCCTGCTCGTATGTTTTTTGTTTCTTTTAAGGCAGTTTTAATAAGAAAAACATTTTCTGAAGTTAGTGGTGATCTCTGTGGAACATGTTTGAGATCCAGCCTCTGTAGATTGAGCCAATATAAAACATGGTTCAGTCTGAAGCTCTTCAGGACAGAGACCATCTTTCTATGATCTGTTTGCAGTGTCCTAGACAAAGCTGCCTTGAGGGCTATTTAGGCCATCGAGGTGCTACTGCATAAAGATTTAATAAATAATATTTTTAACTCAGACAGTTGCCTCTTGGTTTGATCCTTACCCTGGACCCAGAGCACCAACAGCCAGATGAGTGGCGCTTGCGAGATCATCTTGATACGTCTGACTGCCCAGATGACCAAGTGTGACGGGGCGCGCCGCCCCCGCACCCCATCCGGCGGCCCGCCCCGCACTCAGCCCGCGATCGCGCTGTCCCTCCTGGGCGCCACCCAGGGAGCGCGGCGGCACTGCGGGGCCTGCTCCCTTGCCGCGGCCCGGATAACGGGCAGCGCGGCGGAGGCGGGGCTACGCCCGGACAATGACGCACGGCGGGGGCGGAGCCTCGGCGACGTGGCGTCTGACGTCACCGGGCACAGACGCACGGCGGGGGCGGGGCCCGGGGAC